AATTATATAATTTTTTTTAAAAGGCCTGCTATGCCCAGGGGATTTTAATATAAAATTAAAAGTAATTAAAATATTTTTAAAAAATAATTACTTTTATAATTAGTAAAGTACTATATAAAATATTTACTATTATAATAATAAAAGTGCTACTTTCCCGTGGCTATACTAGGGTTATTTAAAATAATTATAGCTATTTTATTTATAATAACTTACCCTGGTTAATTTAGTATTAAGCCTATAATTTTAATAAAGTTTTTTATAACCCTTTAAAAAATAATTTAAACTTAAACTTTAGCTTATAATATATTAACCGCGTGTTAGCTATTTATAAAAAAAACCCTGGGTAATTTTAGGCTATTAAAGCCTATTTTATCTTAAAATTTTTTTAAAAAGTTTAATAATTATAAGATTTAGTAAGAAACTATTTATAATATTAATAATATGTGTTAGGCCTTTAAAATAAAGTATATAAACTTTAATAATAAATAAAAAGTAGCTTTTAATTAAATTAAAAAGGTGATTATAATTATATTAAGCTTAGTATATTTTTTTTATAGCCCCAGTGGTACTAATATGTTAATTTATATTTTATTAATATATATATTAACTTTTAGTAAGCAAGACTTATTTATATAAGGCCTTAGCTAAGTACTTTTATTTTCTTAATTAAATTATTTTATATATAGCCTTTACTAGTATTATAATATTACTATTACCTAGTAATTATATTATTTATAAATAATTTTATATTTTAGTCTTAACTAAAAAAAACTTATTTTATAATATTTATTAAAAAAGTGCCCTTGCCGGACTTTTATAAAAAATATTTTTAATTATTTAAAATAAAACCTTAATAATAAATAAGCATGTTTTTAATACTATTAACCATATACTATAAAATATTTATAATATTAAAAATATAGCCATGCGCGATATCCCTTTTAGTAATATTTTTATTATTTTAAGTAATAACTTTTAATAAATCCTGCTAGTTATACCGCGTGGAAATTAATTTATAATTATAAGTATATATATTTAATATATAGCTATTTAAAATAATATTAAGGTTATTATTCTTACTAAAAATATACGCCTTTAGGATTTATATAAGAATAATTATTTTTTAATATAGTAACTATATTTATTAAACTATAATATTACCATGCATAGTTTTATATAAATCCTTAATTTTTTATATATAATCTTAAATCTAGCACTTTTTATATTTAAAATATACTTTTTATTTAAGCTTAATGCCTTATTAATACTATGTTAAAATTAAGTAGTATATTATAAGTTATATATTAATATATTTATTAATTATATAATTTTAACACCTCTTAATATAAATATAAATATTTTTAACTTTAAGCTTTTATTTATTATTTTTAAAATTATTATTTACTTACCCTTTTTAAATTATTATAATAATACTAGGGAAACTATTAATAAAAAGTACATTTTAAAATTTTTATATGGTTTTTAATTTTTAAGCCTTTTAATAAAAAACCTGTACTTAAAACCTAGCTTTTTAGTATTACTAATATAAAACTATAATTTTTTTAATAGTTTATATAATAAAACTTAATTAATTATAACCTAAATTGGCTAAAAGTGCCTAAAATATTAAAATATTATAAAAAATAACTAGTATAAAAATAATAAAGTCTTACTCCTGTACTTATAGCTATTTTTTAGAAAAAATAAGTTTTTATTTATACTTACCTAGGTTTAATTTTTAGTTTAGCTTATATATATTATAATAATTAATAAATTACAGGGGTAGTTTTTAAATTATATAAAAATTAATTTTTATTTTTTAGTTTTTACTTATGGTTAACTTTATATAACACTTTTTTAATTAATTTTAGCTAATAATATTACTATTTTATTAATTAAGGGTAATATAAAGGCATGGCTAATAAATAATATAATTTATTTAAAGGTGCTACGCGAATTTATATAAAAAATTTTTAAATAAATTTTTTTATATATACCTGCCTTTCCCCCAAGTATTTTTTTTTTAAATTTATTAATTTTTTTTAATTTTTTTTTTTAATTTTTTTTTTTAATATTTTAATATAAGTAAACTTAAAGCGCCTTTTAATACCCATGCTTTTATTAATAGCTTAATTATAGTTAACTTTAGTCTTAGTAATAATAATAGGCGTTTAAAATTAAATTATTATTTAAAAGGTATAAAACCCAAGCTTTTCCTAGATTTAATTTTTTTAAAAATTTTTATAATAGTTACCTATTATAACTAGTTTAAATTATTTTTTTTAAAATAATACTATAGTTATCTGCCAGGGGCAGCTCTTTATAATTAATAATATTAATAATAATTATTTTTTTTAATAATCCGGGCTAATACCTTAATATTATAAGTTTTTTATATTTTATAGTTATATAATATATATTTTAAATAATATTAATATTTAGCTCTTTTTTAAAATAAGCAGTTTTTTTATTAATAATATATATAATAATTTTATCCTGCTAATAGTATTTTCTTTTATTTTTTTATTAGTACCTATATTAAAAAATAGCTAATTAAAAAAAGAAACTATATTTTACTTATAAGGGTTATAGTTTATAATTATAGCTTTTTAATTATTAATTATATTACCTTTTAGGTTACATGGAGTATAGCTAGGTTTAATTATTTATATAATTTATTTTTTATAACCCCTGGTATTATGGCCTAGGTTTTAAGTATATTATATAATTTTTATTAAGTAAATTATATTTCTTGCCTTTTTATTAAAATAATAACTTAATTATTTATTTTTTATAATATTACTTTTATTACCCCTAGCTTTTTAACCCTGGACTATTTAATTAAATATTATTATAAGTTAAAAAAGGCTACCCTAGTAACTTTTATTAACTTTTTTAGTTATAGGCCCAGGTATAAAAAAGTACCTATAAGTAAAAATAATATTAAAAGTATTATAACTATAAAAAATATTAATTATAATACTTTTAAGCTAATATTAATACTAGTTTTTATAGGTAAAGGTAGTACTACCTAGTTTTTTTATTATTTTTAATTTTTTTATATTTAAGGGCTAAATAAAAAAATTTTTTTTTTTTTAGGTATTATACTTTTAAAACATTTTTAAAAATCCCCTTTTAAAACCTTATTTTTTTAAGCCTTTAGCTTCGCGGTATTAAAGTTAAAAAGCTTAAAAAAAAATTTAATAAATTATTTTTAAATAAATTTATATTTTTAAGTTTTTTTAATTTTTTTAAGTTTAATATTAATAAATAGCTTATAAAAGCTTTTATAAAACTAACTAGCAAGGGTATAGGTAGGGCTTAAAATAATAAAAAAAATAAAAAAACTTAAAAATAATAATTAATAAAATAATATTTACTTTTAACTATAATAATATTATATAATTAGCTATAGGTATTATTAATAACTTAGTTATAAGTATTATTAATAGCTTTTTTATACTAGTTACTATTAGTTTAATTAAAATATAGTTTACTTAGTTAGTATTTTTAGTATTTAATAGGTTATTTTATTATTAATAATAAAATTAATATAATAATAAAATTAATTTAGTATAAATATTTTAATATTAATAATTAGTTTATATAAACTTTTTTTAATAATATTTAATATAATATGCGTGTGGCTTTAAAAATTTACTATTTTTATTTTATATTTAAGTTTTTATTATACTTATAATAATCCCCTTTAAGCCCCTGGTATATTAAGTAACTTAATAAAAACTTAATTATAAAAATTAAATAACTTAAAAATTAGGCCTAAAGGTAAGCATAGCATGTAGTAAATTTTAGTTATATTTAACTTAAGTAAGCCCCTTTCCAACAGCGCTAGCGCGCTGTCGCAAGAGGCTTGTTGGTAGATAAAGGCTGACCGCGGCGCATATCAGACCCGGCGAACATAGGGTATACACTATACACAACTGGGCAGCACCACTGGCAGCCTGGATGTAGGAATCGGGGTCCTCCTCCCTCCACGGCAAAGTTGGTACTCCGCGGACCCTGTGTCTCGACCATCGAGGTCACATGGGGTAATAATAATAAACCTTGACCCTCGAAGTTTACCCTGGCGTTTTACGAGGCCCAACGCGGATCGCATCGCTGGGCCGTTCTACAGCTCCACTACCTGGGTATTATGGATTATGGGAAGGGAAGGTTGTTCACCCGCCTACATAGTGGACCCATCGGGCCAGCTCGCGCGCGGGGTGCAGGGGTGCAGGGTGCCCGACCCATAGGCACAAGGCACTTTTAGGTCCACGGGTATCATACGGCTCCATGCGGGCCTGGGGCACCGCCTTCTGACGCGGAGGGTGCGCACCTGCAGTGCAATACGTATACGTATACGTGTACGTGGCTTCATTGACGGCATTGCAGCGGACGATTCCAGGTCCAGGACGGGTATCATATATCATATCATAATGATCATTCAGGTGGTGGGGCAAGGGGGCTGGGATTTGTTATTCGATGTTTTTCTTTGTACTTGTACTCGTACACTCCCCGGGATAGAGGTGGATCCAGACCCGGACCCAGACCCGGACATCAGCACCCGTGAGTATGGGGTGGTATTGGGCATTCTCGGATAGGGTAGCGCTCCCGCCTGGCCGCGGCTGAATACCCTATCAGCGCCGGGGTTCAGAGGAATTCCCGTGGGCCGGGATCTGTTCGAACTATAGGGTCGTGACGGGCTGGTGGGATGGCTGCGAAGGATCCAAAGGTTCCAATGGAAAGCGTTGGAATCGGACGGGAAACACTTAAGGTTAAGCATCCATTATGCACGCCCCGCCGTACCCAGCCTCCAGCTTCCTTGGAACCTTCCTTGGCCGTCCAGCTGCCGTGACCGGGGCGTGACCGTGACCAAGAACCGTATGCAGCGTCCCTGCAGAAAAGCAATTCCACGTGCGTCCATTGGGATTTGGGACGGTCCCATCAGGACTCGGGCTTGCAAAGCTTTTACCCTACCCTACCCTAACCCGTCGCTTGCCTTACGCGTAGGCCGGCCCGCCAATAAGACCCGATTGGAGAATCCCCGCGAGCGATCGGAGCAGAGCCTGGTTGCTTGGATCGTCGGGGCGGTCGACGAGCGCTCCCAGCGTCGTCCCGTTCTCGGACTCGTCGGGGGGTGTGCGGTAGAGCGGCATTCCGGTGCCCTTTGGTCCTGCTTGCAGCGTCAGCGTTCGCATATGGCTGCAGTCCGGCTCTACCATGGGTAGGTATGAATGGAATAGGGCAGGGGGCAGGGAAAGGAAAACACACCCCACATATCCAGCGTCGTCATCCCAATCAAATCCCCCCCTCCAGCCGACGCCACACACATATAATCCGCCAGACTCCACCGCGTCATCCGCATGATAGCAACCGTATCCTGAAGCTGGAAGAACGGCCATTTTGCAGCCGCCGAATTCGAATTCGACCCCGTACAGTCTGTCTTGAACAGCACACCCGCCTCGCCCATCCTCGCCCCCTCAGCACGGGACTTACTCGGCATCCAGCTCATCCGTAGCTGCGCGACCCCCTCACCTCCAATCAGAAGCGTGTAGCCCTTCTTGAACTTCTTCTCCAGCACCTTCACCTCCGCGCGCAGCCCGGGGCTCTGTCCGCAAACCTCGTCACCTATATTTAACATCTCGTCGTCCGTCCCTTCCAGCAGGCTAAGCAGCATCTTGGCGACGGGGTACATCCCCGCCCGCGGCTGATCCAGCAGCTCGAAGTACGTCATCAGCCTGCCAGCGGAGCGGTTGAGCCTCGCATCGAGATTCACCGGCGTTGAGAGCGTGAATGGTTCCTGACGCGTGTAGACGCGCTTCAGGAGGGATAGTGCCTTGTCGCGCGCGTTGTACGCGAGATGTGTACGTGCGATTGCGACGCAGATGGGCGTGAGCGCTTCCTCGAGACTGAGGTTCTTGAAGCGCGGCCAGGCGTGTTCGAGGAGTTGTTCGAGGGACGATGGGTGCCAGGGCGAGGTCTGGGATAGGTTTACGAGGTGCAGGATTGTCTCGCCGCAGGTTAACGGGTGTAAGGCTCCAGGGTATTTTCGGTCGAAGTGCGCGACGAGGAGTGAGGGTTCGAGGACTTTGAAGGCGCAGTGCAGGGCGCGGGTTGAGGAGGAGGCGGCGAGGAGGTCAGGCGGGGAGAGGGAGGTCAGGATTGCAACGCGGAGTTCGAGGGGGAGGGTGTTTAGCGTTGGCATGATGGTGCTGCGAAGGGATATGAGGTCTACGAGTGGGATGGAAGGTGAAGGCTGGAGGTGAGTGAGAGGGCGGAGTGTGCGTAATAGCTGGAGGTAGATCGTTGAAATTTCGTTCCCGCTAGGCCTAAAAGAGTCATTACCGTTGGGCTTGGCACTCTATGAAGGCAATGGACGGCGGTTAATATTTCCTTTCTATAGTGAACACTTTTCGACTTGAATGGAGGTTGATGGTGCGCTGATATAGCAGACAAAAATAGGGCATTTAGGGTCCATGGGCGCGACCGGGCGTTCCCGTCCGCGGAGAGCCGGTCAGAACTAGTTTTAACTGGTTGAGAACTAGTTTAGATGGGTGTAGAACTAGTTCTGCAGCAGTGACAAGCAGTTGCCAATTCAACCATGTAGCCGGGCCCGAACAAGTTCTATTGATGAGGGTAGAGTCGGCGTTGCTTCTTGCTCAATTATATTATTCCCAATTTATCTCACCTTGGTAGTCTGCGTATTACTTTCAATGCGGTTGGATGGCCATTCTCTGGGGTCCGTAGGAAGTAGGCTCGGTGCTCGAGCTAATAGGCTTGGTAATATCTGTAATCTGTATTCCAATCTACATCCATAGATAGGTAGTATTTATTCACTGCTTATCTCTATATTCTTTGCAAGAGGTGCATTATATTAAAACTTTACCTTTTTTATAAAAAGGGTTAGAAAGACCCCGAAATCCTCATTCAACAGATGTGTCATGACAAAACCCAGAACCATCTAGAAACGGTCTTGCCAACGTATCACGGCCCTTTCTACGCAGTCCAAGGCATTAGTTACTAGTATATAAGTCTGGGTTGTACTTTTGCACTTGGTTTGTGGTACATCTGGACATGCAGGGTCGTGGGGTTTAAACGGAATCGATACCTCCAGAATGCCCTCCCCTGTTCAAAGAATACTGCCAATGCGGGTGTACGTAACAGAAATAAAGCATTGTCCTCTCATACAGTGTGCGAGCCAGCCTTTTTGTTGTTACTACTACGTAGTTGGTGAGTGGCTGGCAACGAATTCCCATCAATTGAGAATCAAGTTGTGTTCAATTTTCGAACACTTCAATAACATTGTCGATCGACATCGAATTATCACTAGAAATAGGGGAATGCCTTTCCTAATTGGCCTAATTCTTTCTCTTGAAGTAATTCCTTAGTTAGGTTCACTTTAGGGCTTTCTCTTGGGTTCCTGGCATTGATCCTCATCCTGAGTACCCGGACTTGACTGTGGCGACTACAAGACTTTTCTCTCTCGCTTCGCTATTGGATAAGCCGCCCCTTTATTAACACCCTTTCATCCGTTTGGCTTCATGGGTGCGCTTACGGTTGTAGATATGAGGAAGACTACATCGGTGTTTTACCTTGTTACTTGAGGGGTATTGGGAGACCAGAGATTATGACAAAAGTCAAATCCAAGTCTATCAGGCGGGCCATTACGAATCTTCCTCAAATAAACCTGTGCTGTAAATGTTTGATATCGCAATTTGCATTGTGCATCATGCTGTTGACAGTGTAAGTGCTTTAGTCAGGGACTTAAACCGCGCAATCATGGGACCCTTCATTGGGATCTTGCATGATAAGAGCACTTGTTCTCAATTGATGTAACCCTCCTTTTTTTCTGAAAGAAGCGGTTTACATTTTCCTAATAAAAGGTATGGGCTGAAAGATAAGGCAATACCGCATACCCAAAGCCCTTCACTCGTCCACCAACTCCTACGAGTTCATTGTCTTCCGGAAACAAAGCCTTTATGTCGAGTGTCTACATAAGAAGCGAGATATCCTCACTCGAACCCATCATTTGCAACAGCAACAGCACATTCAACACTGTTGTTACCCATCCACTCTCACAAACAGTCTTTCCAACAACCCGCCAATATGACCCGCCCCTGTGGTTCCCGAGCGAACCTCTGCGAAGAATGTACCGCCAACTACAAACGCATCCAAAAGCACACCCTGCGCCCCAACGAACTCACCGACGCCGACGTCTTCCCAGTCTCAGGCGTCCACCCGATTTTCCTGACGCAGGTGTTCCCCATCGGCAAATTCACCGAGGACGAAGACGTCTCCATCACCCGCAGCATCAAGGCCTGGTTTCTGGACATGTACAGGATCTGCGACGTGCGCGTTTTCGTCAAGGTCGATTACCGTCGGAATGAGGAGAGGGATAATGTCTGGGAGGCGCATGTCTGTATCCTGGTTGATCCGCCTCAGCTTTTGGTGCTTGATGATAAGTATGTTCGTGATATGTTTGCCCTGGAGGCGGCGGGCTTTGATATGGGGTGGACGCGGACCCGTACTTACACGTCTCCGGATCAAGAGAGCAAGAACAAGAATCAGACTGGGTGTATTGCCGCCGGTCGTCTGGAGTTCTTTGCCGATTTGCTTGACATTGAAGCTAGAGCGACGGACCGTCGGGAGTACATGTAATGGACTACCGCGCGTTGCTACATGGGTTGGGAGGATGACCGCGAGATTTTAAGGCCTGTGCATACTAGCTTGGTTTTGGCTTTCAACACTCGTTTAGAATGCCTTGTTATTGCTTTGTTGTGTTTTATATTGTATGTTTTTGCTAAGTCAAATGAGAAATAGAAAAAAAAAATTGTTGCTTCTGTGAATATTGCACCCATGTTCAGAATTTTAATTTACTGCTATTTTAGTAAATCTAATACCATAGTAAATCTGATACCATAGTAATGGACGAACAAATAAAGCCAAATATGCTGACTAGGTCCATACAATTATGGTGCTTTGTAGAGAAAAGGCTCTCTTTCCCACTCGTGCGGCTGGAGTTGGCTTTTCGACTATAAGGGAGAGTGCCTGTGTTGGTATTCTGATGCCCGTAGTAATGACAGGTCATCTCCTCGCATCCCATGTTCTTTAAAGACAGAACACTCGGCATCAATGGCTTCTCACTCTCCTATGTTGCATCCAGCGTGCTTTCAACGCCTGGAATGATCCACCACCATTCCCAAGTATCTTTGATGTAGAATTTTAGTTTTGGTCCTTAAATGCACGTGTGACTTTATCTTCAAAGGGTTGAGTCGACGACATGACCAGTGATGGAAGTCCAAGGTCTTTGTGAATTGGCAGTCAAGGACTCGCATTATCAAGAACAAGAAAGAGCACACAAAGTCCTTTGCGCTCTAGGGCTTTGAAATCCATTTCACAGCCAGGAAACTAAGGTCTTTATAAGAGGACAATAAATTCCACATGAAGGCTTTTGCCCTGGGGATAAAGACCGGATATTTCATTGCACTAACTAGAGACAAAGTGCTTTGTGTGGAAGATGGACATATAAGGAGGTAAGATTCCACCTCAAACCGATCATCAGCAACAACTCAACCTCAGAGTTTAGTTAGCAACAACTTCCGAACAACTCCAAGCAATCCCACCCCTACCAACCCAACCTCCAAACCAACCAAACCAACCACCAAGATGCCTCGTCCATGCAGCTCCCCCACAAACCAGTGCGCCCAATGCACCGAGATCTACCAACAAATGCTATATCTCCGGAAAGTCCTCGGCGAAGCCTTCCCCGAGGAACAACACGACGAGGCCGTGCTCTTCCCCCGGCTGGAAGTCTACCCCTTCGTTCTAACGCACGTCTTCCCCCTCGAAGTCGTCGAGGTGACAGACCGCTTCATGCAAAAGATCTCAGTTAGCATCCGCGCCTGGTTCAAAGAGAACTACGGCACCGACAAGATCAACATCTTCTTCCTTGACACTGAGATCGAGAACAAGTACCACGAGCCCGGGACGCATATCTCGGTTCTGGTGGATGCGCCGGAGTCCATGGTTGCGACGCAGCGGGATGTGGAGCGCATGCTGGAGCTCAAGCTCGGCCGGTTCCGGTATGGGTGGACGTATCGCTCGTTTGAGGATATGGAGGGGTGCACGGCGGCTTTGAGGCTGGAGTTTTTGATGAAGATGCTTCCTGATCCGGAGGAGGAGGAGGAGGAGGAGGAGGAGGAGGAGCAGCGGATGCCTGCTCGTAGGTGAAAGTAGGTTCTTTTGACCTTGTCTGGGACAGGCAATTGAGGTTTCATTTGTTGGTCTCAAGTATATTTGTCTGTCTGCTGCTTTTTGGGTTGATCACTCTTTTAACATCCCCTTTAAGATACATACAAAATCAATTGAAGTTATTTGCTGCATTGGATAATACGTACGTAATAGGTGTAGCCATTGAATCTGTATTTACAGCACCTGATGTTTGTAGACACACGAGCTTGATGTCCAAAAGGTCTACAACCACGCGTAACCGTGTCGAGCAATCAACAGCAAAGTACCATAGAATCCAGACACATTCAGTCCCTAACAACTATCTCCACAGCAGGTCAACCACGCCAACAAATTCAACAACATAATCAAATAACCGCCCACTTCACACCTATTCCTGCAATGGCACCTCCATACCTCCATGCCAACCACCCACCATCACACCCAGCTCTATGCGGTGCGCATCCAAGACACCCGTAGCCAATATCTCTCCTTTCTCGCTAGCAAATAGGCAAATCAGGCCAATACCACCTCCCAAAAACCGGCCCCGCATTCCCACAGTCCGTCCCACTATAATCGCAAACAGCCGTGTCCTGGTCCTCAATATCCTCCGCCGCAATGCTCCAGCTCATCCCGCCCTCAACGTCAACGATATCCAGGACCGGCGCGCCATCGCCCCAGCTGAGCCCCACCATCTCGCCGCAGATGTCGTCCAGGATTTGGGGCGTCTCTGTGAGCCATTCTTCTAGCGAGAGGGGGTTGGGAGGGCTGGGTGTGTTAGTGGGAGAATGGGAGGAAAAGGAAAGGGGATAGGTGTACTTCATCTCCTTGCTCCCGGACCCGCAGACTTCGTTGCCCGGTGCCCACATCTGCCACCACCCGCAGGCGGGGCCTTGGTCTGGGGGTGCGAGGGTGCAGGCGCTTGAGAGGCAGAGGTGGCCGGCTAGGGTGTTGGAGGTCAAGGCGAGGAATGTGCTGGTGAGGGTGGTGGTCTTCATTATAACTAGGGTTTTAGTTAATTATATGATCAAATAGAGTAATGTTTGAGACGGTTGCAGGAGATCAGATGGAGATTCGATTTGGAGGAGGGTTGTGTCTCCCTTTATACCCGGCTCTGCTCTGCATCCAGACATAAACCAGCGCTGTTTGAGAACAAGAGACAAACATCAGCCAAGATATCGTAGTCCTTACATGATTGTCTTGATTTGGCAGAAAAATACCACATTCCTTAGTCCCCTACGCGACCTACCAAATACATGGGTTTTGATGTCAGCCAAGTTACAAAGCAGTATCAGACCCTGATTCAGCGCCGAATTCAGCGGGGAAAGCTGCAAGAACCCTTGAGTCTGATGTCAGCCAAGTTAAAGCGTAGTATCTGATGTTCCTTGACAAGATCTTGCACCTTTATAACTCTTAGCAATCTAGGGGTACCTTTAAATAAGGGCTCCAGGCACTTTAAAACTATTATAAATATATATTTTTACTATTTTAATTTTATTTTTAACCTTTTTTTTTTATTACTTCTCGCGGTATAATAGCTAAAATTAAGGTATATACCCCTAATTAGCTTACAGGCATTAACTTAGTTAACTTTATATAATTATAAAAACCCCTATGCCTTTTTAATTTTTATATTATAAAAAAATAAAAAAAAGGCCCTAGCAAGCCTATTTTTTTTTTATTATTAAAAATAATAGCGTGTTAACTTTTTAGCCTAGCCTGGCTATAAAAACCCTTTATAATTAACTTAATAAGTAAAAGCACTAGGCATGTATTAAGTATAAAATTTTTATAAGCTTTATAATTATTATTAATAGCTTTATAACTAGGTAAAAAACTTAAAATTAAAAAGCCTTTACTTATAATATTTATAATAAATTTATATATTTTATTTTTTTAAAGGGCTATATTAATATTAATAATATTAATTATATTTTTTTATATATATATAATTAGCTTATTATTATAATAATTTTTAATAAAATTATTACCTAGGGGGGAATAAGCTTAACCCTTAAAAACTTAAGGGCTTAGCCTACCTTTTTTAAAGCAGGTTTTTTTACCCTAACTAACGCCACCTTAGGTAAGGCACCCTTAATTATTAAGTTAGGTGCCTTAATAGCCTAATTAATATATAATAACTTTATTATAGCCTTAACTATATATAATAATTATAAAATATTTATTATTTTTTTAGTAATAAGTTAATAGCGCGCCTGGAGGTATATATTATTTAATAAGCTTTTATTAAATATATACTAAAATTAATTATAATTATAGTTATTTTTAAAATTAATATTACTTATATAAGCTAGGCTATTATTTTTAATAACCTTTTTATTAGGGATTTTTTAGTAATTAATAAAGTAATTAATATAATTTACTATACCCTAGGTATTATTAATATATATATTTTTTAAAAATAATATAATTACATGGTGCAAGAAGTGCCTAGCACTATTTTAATATATAATAATAATAAAATAAATATTATTAAATTAATCCAGGATAAAATTATAGCCTAAACTAAATTAAAACTAGTTAGGCTTACCTTTTTAAAATATAGGCTTAATTTTAATACTAGGCATATTACTTAAGTGGTTTTTTTTAAAGTAGCCTAAGACCTTTACTTTATTTAATTAAAATAAGTACTACTAACTTATTAAAAAATACTAGCTAGTTTCCTAGTATAACCCTAGCTATTAAAAATATTACTACCTAGTATAATATAACCACGTAGTATATTATATATAATATAATATAATAATTATAAATTATTTAGGTTTTATTAATCTTAATTATAAAAATCCTACATGTTATATAAATTACCTAGGTTTATAAGTAATAAAATATAATAATTATTTAATAGCCCCCAGGCGTAAGAATAAAACTTTAATTTATTTATTTAAAAAAAAACTTAATAGCATATGCTATTATAGCACCTATTAATATTAAAATATATATACTTAAGCTAATATTAATACCTAGCTTTAGGCTAAAATTAAATAATTTTTATCTTAAAAAAATCCCTAAAAGCGCGCTATAAAAAAACCTAAAATAAATAAATAAGGCTTTATAATAATTACTAACTACTATACCCCGTGGTTTAATATCTTTATTAAAAATTAAAATTTTAAGTAGCTTTTTATTAAATTAATTTAACCTGCCCTAGCTAACACGGGCATGCTTTTTTTACCTTAAGTAATAAAAATTAATACTAAATCCCCCTTTAAGCTTTAATAATAAAGTACTAAAAAAAGAATTATAATAACTATTATTAAAATAATACCTAGTAATAACAGGATTTTATTATTTATTAAATAAATATAGGTAGGTTTATACCTAGCTATATTATAATTTTATAACTAGCTTATAAGTAAAGTTATAATATTACCTATATTTAAAAGCCCTAAACCGCTATAAATATAAAAATTTAAAATTACTTAATATTTAAGTATTATATACTAGTAAATACCTAAAATAATTATAAAAACTAGTTAAAAAAGTGCCTTAAAATACTTACTTATATTTATAAAGGGGGAGTATTATATATTAAATAATATTACTTAGTATAAAGCTAGGATATACTATAGCTTATAATAAATAATATTAAAATTTTAAATATATATTAAAAGCTAATTACTTATAAAATAATTAATTACCTAGTTATATTAATCCCTACCTTAAATTATATAATAAGCAGGGATTTTAATATTATATATAATATTTTTAAGCCTAAAATAAATAACCTACACCACGGCGGCAAGATTACTAGGTAGGCTAATAATAATAATATTAATTATATTAATAAGCTAGGCGTGACCACGCATAAAGCTAGTTATATTTTTAATTTAATTTTTTTAAATATTTTATTTACCTATATGCTAGTGGTATTTAAATTATATAATAATTTTAATTATTAAACCCTGGTTACTATAATGCCAGGGCGTGAAAAAAAAATATTAAAATAATATTATTATAATATACTAAATTATAAGCTTAAGTGCCTAGCTAGGCTTATAAAAAATAAAATAATATTTTCTTTTAGCCCAGGGAACTTAGGAATATAAAAGTACTAAATTAATATACTAAATTTTTTAATAATATTATTATAAAAGTTATATAAGTAATTAATAAATACCTTAATTTAGGGAGCCGTGGTGCTCCCTAGTAATTAAATAAATATATAAAAAATTATTATGCCTAGGTAATAAATCTTACCCTAAAATAAAAAAAAATAGTTTTTAATTATAGTTTATAAAACTAAACACGCGTACTAAATTAAAATAATTAATAATATTAAAAATAATTAAAAATTATATTAAATAATAATATAATATAAGCTAAAGCCTAGGCTTAAGGCTCCCTTATTACTAGTAAATAATAAAGTAATTAAAAACACGCGGGAAAAGGCTAATATCTTATAAAAAGTTATACTAAAGTATTTTAGTATAAATAATAACCTAGACTTTAATCCCCTAGTATTAAATTACTAGTAGGAAAATAAGCACTTTTATTAGCTAAAAAGAATCTTATTAAAAAAAGTTTAAAAAAAATATTATTAATATAAGTAGTACCTTTCCTAAAGCGGACTAGGTAATTATTTATATTTTAAAAGCTTATTAAAAGCATGTTAAACAGGCTATTTATAGGCTATATAATTATTACCTATAATTAAAGTACTTTCCCTTATTATAAAAGCTTATAAAAGTAATAATACTTTTAAAAGGTAATAAAAAAATAAGTTCTTGTTTTAATTTTAGCGCCTTATAATATTATTTTTAATATTAAAAAAAAAAACTTAAATAAATTATAGCATGCTATATTATTTTTATTATACTAGTATAAAAGGTATTAAGCCTATAATAATATAATATCTTACCTAAATGCTTAGTTATAAACTTAATAGCCTTTTTTACTTATAATATAAAAATAATACTTTTATAAAACCAAGAGGTTATTATAATTATTATAAATATTTTAGGTGCTTTTAATATTATTTTATTATAATACTTACTTTAATAAATAGTAAAGCAAGGCTAGCCTTGTGTACTTTTAGCCTTAATTATAAGTTTTTTTAATAAATAAAATATAAAAATACGCCTAAAATTTATTATAATAATAATATACCTAGTATACTATAGTATACTACAAGGCTTGCCCCTTTTTTTAGTTTTATTTTTATTATATATTACTAAACTATTACTAGTAAATTTAATTTTATACTTTAATTATATAAGAAATTTTTATTTTAACCATGTAAGTAACTTTTTTTATATTAATTATAAATACCTAGTAAAAAATATTTATAGCATGCTAGCTTAAAAAAAGTAAAATAAGGTGGCCTTTATACTTAAAAAGCTAAAAATACTATATATTACCTAAAAATAATATAATAAGTCTTTTTTATTAATAATTAATAACTAGCTAATAATTACTTTAGTTATTATAGCACTAGGCTAAAAGTAACTAGTACTATACTAGTTAAAAACTTTTTTAATAAGTAACTTTCCTAGTATTATTATATTACTAAATAAGTAGTTAAAGCCTGTGTAATAATATAATATATTTATAATTTTATATATATAATATATAATTTACTTATAAATTTTTTTTATAAAATAATTATTATTTATATTATTTTTAGCCTTTTATATAATATAAAGGCGTGGTATAATAATAAAACTAAGCTTAAAAAACATGCATAAAACCTAAAGGTTAGTGCCTAATTAAGCTAGTATATTAAAGTAATTAAAAAAACCCTGGCTTTAGCTACTTATAGCATGCTCCTAGTTTTTTAAATAATACTTATAATAACCCTTTTTAAAAATACTAGGCTTTTTTTTACTATAGTAATACTAAAAAAAGCGCGACTATAATTTACCTTAAAACTTTAATTAATAAATTATTAAAATTTACTAGTAATATAAATAATATTATTAAAAATCTTACATAGTTAAGGCGCTAGCTTATGCTAAAGGCCTAAAATAAAGATATAAATAATAAAAGTATTTTTTTTAAAGACTTTTAGGCTAGCTTTTATATACTTTTATTATTTTTAAAAATACTTAAAAAATTTTATTAGTAGCAAGGCTAAAAAGCTAGCTATAAAAAAGTTTAAATAATAATAGTAAGTATTATTAATAATAAAAATAATAATTTTTAGTAATAATTTTAAATAAATATATTAAGGGGTTTATTATATAAGCTATAACTTTATAATATATTATATATTATACCTTTAAACACAGGAATTATTAGTAATTAGTACCTAATTTTATATATATAATATTAAGGCTATTAATATACTTTAAAAACTAAAAATAATAATTAAAAAGCTTTTTAGGGCTTTTATTTACTAGCTTAATATAAATAATACCTTAATAATTTAATATGCGCGCGGGCAGCCCTTATTATTTTTTAACTAGGCTTTTTAAGTATTATACTAACTTATAAATTAATATATAATTTATTTAAAATAGTTTTTTAGCTATATAAATATTAAAGGTAATAAGCTAGTTAATAAGCTTACTAATAAAGTAGCCTTTATAAAGGCTTAACTTTTAAAGCCTAACTTTTTAAAAGCATAGCCTATAATAAGTAAAATATATAGCTTATATAAGTAAATATACCATATTATTTAAATTAAATAATAAAAAAGTATTTTTATAAAGCTATTTATATAATATAAGTAATAGCTTTTTATAAAAACTAAGCCTTATTAAATTAAGTTATTATTAAAACTAATATTAAAATAACTAGTCCTGTACTACTAGCTTATACTTAAGTTTTTATATAAAAACTTTAAGTAATATTATAAATACTTTTAATATAAAAATACCAGGCTTACTTACTTTTATAAAATAAATAAAAGCCCTAAATACCTAGTTTTTTATTATTACTTTAAATAATACTTTTTATAATAGCCCTAGTATTTTATAATATTATTAATAATTAAGGCTAAGGCCTTAAAATACCTTTATAAACTAAAGCCTAAGGGCTTTATATTATTATTTAAAATTATAAACTTTTATAAATTTATTTACCCTTGCTAGGGCACCCCGCGCCTTAGTACTACTAGGGCTACCTAATTTAATATTAAATAGCCCTTTTTTTTACTTTATTATGCTTTTTTTTTAAACACCTTTTTTTAATATAACTAGCTTTAATTAAAGTATTTTTTTTATAATAAGGCAGGTTCTTGTAACCCTTTACGGCCAAAACCCTAAATATATAATAAATAATACTTACTAATAGCTATATATAAAAATAATACATAAAAAACAGGCGCTAGCCCACAAGCTTTAGTAAAAGTTACCCTTTAAAATAAAAAGCCTTTTTATATATAAATAATTTAAATAAGCTACTTACCTAGCGGTAGCACGCCCCTATATTTTAAGGAAAATTTAGAACAATAGGCGTACACCTAGCAATCCCCGGGGCGTTAAATATCACTACTACTACTACTTAACAAGATCTTGGAAGGAATCACTTCGTTAAGACCGGTGCCATGCTTCTGGCTTGATTTGGCCCCCATGTTAGGCCCCCGGCATGCTTTTTTGCAGGGTCGCTGATTCCCAAAACCAAGAGCCAAGGGCTGTGCCTCAGCTGGGCAGGGGCCAAAAGTTTCAAGTGAGGCATGAGGTCTTAGAGTGTTAAGTGTGATGATCGCGCTTCGGGGCATTTCTGCACCGTATGATGCTATAGACTGTGAGCTCTTTGTTAAAGAGGGTCATCGGACTATACAGGGGAAAGGGCAAAAATGCAGTCAAATCAAGGAAGCTTTTTGAGATCATCCAACGAATTGCTGATGGAAAATGGTATGTTTATTGATATGAGACTTACACTCGGCGCTTCCAGTAACAGCGGGTGACGTGATTACACTCCCCTCCAAGCACGTAGGTAGGTACCATATAATGGACAGTGCCCCGCTAATATCAGAAATCTGCAGGGCTGGGAGTAAGATAGGAAATACTTGAACTCACTAATCCTACATATAGTTGCCTTCGAACTGGGCTATATGATGCGTTCTCGCCTCAACAAAAGGTGCAGAATATAGCGGGCTATCTATCTACAAGTTGTTCATCAATCCCAGTCAAACGGTAGTATTTGGCCTCTCAAGATATAGAACATCAACCTGTGTACCATTACACCAACAATTAACACCTTGCCCAGTGTAGACGCAAAACTCTGCTCAACTAGAACGCGCGAGCTCTGGTTCTCCAGTCAGTTGACAGCACCGCTGCCTGCTAAAGCCAGCCTATGGAGTGCAATGGGCTCAACATGGTGCTGAAATGCATTCCTTTGTATCTATCATGATGCGGCAGATCCAGCTTCAACAGATCCTCCCGGCGTCCTTTCATTGATGATCCTCTCGACCTCATCCCACTCGTCGTCGCTACTATCGAAGTCCCAAACGTCGGGGATCTGCTCTGGAAACGGCCGGAGCAGCTCCATGCCACAGCCTTTGTAGCCTAGTACCATGAATAAGTCAGTATGTCCTAAGACATCAACGGTCCTCCAGCATACCTTCACTATTCAACGACGTCATCCCAATAATAATCTGACTATCCCGATCCGTAACCTTATACCGATACTCCGCCAACGTCCACTGCGTCACCCGGCAAACCGCGACCGTCCGCTCGATCGAACCCTCCGGCCACCCGAGATGCTCATTCCATCTACCTCGCTGCATGTACCCATCCAACGAAAGATCCCTCGAGTACGGCTCCCACGGACACCGTATCTGGCTGATCCCCCCGTCTGCAATGAGCAGTGTATTCCCTTTGTGGTACATCTTCTTCAGCATTCTTAGCTCGGATAATAGACCACGGAGTATATCCCGATGGACGAGCGGAACATCAGCAGGGAGGAGACTCTTCATCAACGCCTTGCCAATCGGATATAACCCGGCTCGTCTCGGACCCTTTCCATACTCGGTCTTGACCTTGTTGTACCGTTCGGCCGTTTTCCCCGTCGGCTTGATACCAGCTGGAACCGACCACGTAAACGGCTCTTTCCCCTCGAAAAGAGCAACGAGGATCTTGCGCGCCTTGACACCGTCATGCTTGCGCAGATAAAGACCCCAGATCTGAAGGCCGATTGGCATCAGCGCTTCCTCGAGATGCAAGGCCACGAAATCCGGCCAGACGGTTTTAAGGAGGCGTTCCATTGACGACGGGTGGAAGATTCGCGATCGCACAACTTTCATTAGCCAGAGGACGACGCGCCCGGCGGTAAACACGTAGATATTCGCCCATCTGTTGCGGAGGCACGAGCGGAGGATGCTGCTTTCGAAGAGCGTGAGGGCTGAGCGGAATGCGCGATTGACGGTGGCGACGCGGATGACATCCTGGATGGTTGGGAGGTTCTTGAGAATTAGGGCTAGGAGCTCTGGTGGGAAGCGGGTGATGGCGGACATGTTAAAGTGATACTAGTGTAGTTGCTATTTTGAGTCGAGGTTGTTGTCCACTTGCAGCGGCCGGTGATGAATGAAAAATTTGATCATGTCAACTGGCCAATGGAATCTGAGGGTTATTTCGTTCACTCGTTTGTGGTTTAGATCCAGTGGCATTTCATAAAAAGTTTTGTGGGTCAAACCGGATCTCTAGGTGGATGGATGCTTGGGTGCTGCGTGGACTATTACCGTAGTTCAAGGCTTTGGGCTCATGGTCATACATCATTCCAGGCTTTAGCTGTTCCAACAAGGCCCCATATTATACTAATACTTGAAGGTAATGTCCGCCATATCTAGACCAAAACCATCATCTATCCTATGATTCGGGCAGGAAGACAGTCCAGCTGTATAGAGGGCTTATATTTGCGATATAAAGAAAAGGTCTAATTCCACAGTAATTCCAAAGACCTTTATTAATTACCGCCAAAGTGTATTGCTTAGAGTGAATCGTCCAAGCATATCGAAATAAAATCACCCTGGTACCTCAAACACCTCCCCGACCCTTCCATTGCGATCCTTCGCCATCCCCGGCTTCCCAATCCCCTTGCCCGAACCCATCCCACCATCTACAATAGGACTCAGCTCGAACAGCGAACGCTCGGTGGACTCCAACTCCGATGGACCAGGCATAGGAACAGCATTGTAGTATCCAGAGCCGGGACCGCTGGCGTTCGACGAGCTGATGACCGGTAGTCCTCTTTGCACGCGGCGCCTCTTCCTCCACCGCAACACGAAATATACCATGGCGCCGAGCACCAACAGCGCGCCGACCGCAGCCCCAACGCCAATACCGGCTTTTGCACCTGAGCTTAATTCAGAGGCGTCCGGGGCAGGATTGGTAGGTTCGCTTTTGTCGGAGGACGGAGTAGGAAGCAAGATGGAAGATGAAGATGAAGACGAGGACGAAGACGAAGACGTCCCGGTCGAGGTCGAAGATAACACTGTTTCCGTTATACTCTCCATAGTTTCGGTTGTTGACGGCTCCTTCACAGTCCCATATGTTTCCGCCGCCCTGTCCCCATCCCCATCCCCGGTATACACCACCTGCAGCGTTAAAGCAGTGTTTATCCCGTCGTAACTCGTCACCACCGTCGTTGCGTCCTCGAGGGCCCCGCACCCCCACTGGTAGAACCCGGGTTGGTATAAATCGTCCGGGAAGGAATTGCGGTAGCAGCGGTCGTTGCCGGTACTAGACATCCACAGAGAATCAGTCAGCATTCATCAGTATTAGCTTGTAACGGGGGAGGAGTGCTACAATGGACGCAGACGCACCAGGTATAAACGTCCGCTAGATCTGCGCTCGGACTCTTGGAGCTGGCGTCTATGCAGGACGTAAAGAACCGGCATGTGTTTGAGGCCGTGTCGCAGCACCCGATGTAGTGTTTGTCTGGGACTTGCATGTTGCGAGCTTTCCGCCGTCGCCGTCGATCCAGCCGCAGATGGTGACGGAGTAGGAGTCGCGTTTTAGGAGGTGCGCGAGGAGGGTGGAGTTCGTGCAGGGAGGCTCAGTCGTTTGCGGAGGGGGGGTGGTCGCCATGCTGGTCGGGCGTGTTTTTAACATCTGGATGGGCATTTTGTTCGAAGCTGCGGGGGTGTCTGGAGTGATGGTATGGGTAACTGTATCCAAAGGAAGGAGATCTGTTGGAATGACTAAATGTGAACAACTATGGTATTGTTGCTGCTGCTGCAGAGCCAGTATATGGCTGATGGAAAATAGAATACAAGTGAAAGAAAGGGGTCCCGGATTTCATCAATGATCTGAGTAAGAAAGCCTTGACCTCACCATTAGGCGCCTTGCAGATTTGCGCCTATGCATGGTGTTCCAATGGTTGATAGCGATGTCGACCAGGAGGCTGCCCTCTTGTGTTCCCTGGGCCCCTGGGCTGAGACATAGCATTGGGGGCCGGACCGCAAGGCTGTGGCTTCTGCCCCAGTGTCCGTTAACAAATTATCAGCCTCTTCCAGAAGAACAAGGGAGTTAAATTCCGCAGGGAAACCCCTTCTGTTCTAAGGTCAATTTACCATCTGTGCCCGCCTTCAAGCTCCCACGGGGCGAGGGGGACAATCGCTCGGAGATGTTGGCCTGTTACACGGATTTGCCCCTGACGGGGCATATCCCAGCCACAGGGCACAGTCTCGTATTCTGAGAATAGATCTCCGTCCAGGGGACCATCAGCTCCAACCATTCACCCGGTTTCAAGGGGATGTTGCACAAGCTACCATATGGTAGGCTACGGGACTCTGAGTAGTGAGCACGTATGACGTGGTACCACACATGGCAGTCGTGCCAAATTGTTTCCTATTATTCATACTCGCAGGTGAATCTTTCTCCGAATATAAAGCACAATCCTTTTCCAATGCGTGAAGTAGGTATATAGACTATTACCATAGTCTTTGTTGTGTAGTGGTCTAGACCTAGGTACAGCAAGCCCTTTCGAAAGATACGTTTCGTTGAGCCTATCATTAAGTATAAGGAGAGCTCTTGATGCTCTATTAGTCCCGACCTTTTACAAAGGCAACAAAATAATCTCATTCTTCACTTTGTTAAGTCGATAAATCAGCCATTCCAATCCCTACAAACAGACTTTGTGTAATAGGAAACGGTAAAAATACTCCCATAAAATGGTTATGGACATCTCGATAGAGATCTGAACATATACATGGATAGCAGCCACTAACAAATACATATCCGCTACAAGTTGTTTGCAACTAGGAAGTAGATAGCTTTGTTTTTTAAGTCTGTTTCCACTGGCCGACGAGGCATTATTCTGCTACTCTATTAAACTTGTCCGGATAACCTTTCGACCCGTGAGTCAGGTTCTTCAGTTGATGGACGGCTGGGCTTGTTACTGCGGTAAGTGTAGATACAGGGAGAACATTGAACATTCCTAGGATAATTGCGCACTAGGCGTGGATAATGTGCTAAACGACTACAGTGGAGTAGGGGGAATACAACAAAATGGACAGCTATGCCCGTTCCCCCCATGCTTGTCTCTCAAGCCCTCCCACGCATCTCATTCAACTTCTCCATCTTATGGACATACTGATAGCTTGAGATATCGCCTGGAGACCTCGCCCTGAAAACCAGGACAACAAGGGCCATCAACGCCGCATCAAACACATACAACGTCCACTCATGCTTCAACAGATACCCATCATTCCCCATCACAAACTCCGCGACCCGAAACAGCGACCGCACCATGATCGCCAAACTAACCAGGCAAAGCGTGGCAAGGTGATACCGCCAGCGCAGCCCGGCCTGCCGACTCCCCACAGCCTGGTCCCTGCCCATCCGCATCTGAAATACCACAGCCGTGACAATAAAGAATCCAAACATAATTACCTGGACTATCAACCCAAATACAACAAGCTTGTTGCCTAAACTGGCTAGGTTGCTCTGAACCATCATCCCCGCGGCACCGCTCTGGATCAGGAACAAGAGGACGTCGCCGACAACAAAGATCTTGGTTAGCCAGCGCACGGGGATAACACTGTGTTTTTGCCCGCCGACTCCGATCATTACACGGCCTAGCACCATGTACACGGAGGCTGCGAAGAGGGCGGGCGCGAGGAGGATGAAGACATTCTGGATGCAGTAGGGCATCATTTTGCCGGTCTTGTTGTGCGCCGAGGCGCGTGCGCAGTAGCCTATAAACTCGACTATACGGCCCAAGTTAGCATGTGTTCTGGTGAGAGGGGTGCAACTAGATAAGCAACGGCATCATACAGAGACAACCAATCACGAACGGGACGCAGAAAAATGTCTTTTGTTTGCAGATCTTCTAGGTGTGATAGGCCGTTCCCGCTAGGAAGAGCAGCAGGAACATCGCGGCTGCTGGGAGGGACGGGACATATTCCCAGAGGTAGTAGCCCTTGTATGACTGGAGCTCGGGCATTGTAAACGGTGTGGAAGGTGACTTGGATTGTGAGCAAGTCGAGCGAGCAGATCAGCGCTGCGCCTTGGCATTTATACTGCCCAGATACCAAGCTTTCAGGGGCATTGGGTTGAAGCAAATCTCCCTAGACCAAGCCGTTAGCTTTATAGATACCGGCAGTGGTGTATCTATACGCGTATACCCTAACGAGCTAAGCTCAGTGGTTCGATTGGTACGTGCATACGCGGACAACCGTCGCGTGGAGTATACAATTCAATAGAATGGAACCTCATACAATGTGGGCTTAGGTTTGTGGACATCTAGAGCACTGGAACATGGGTATGGAATCATGAAATATATGTCGCTGTGACCACAGCCAAAAGAGTTGTGTTCTGAGAATGATATATTATAAAGTGCATCATTCTTCGGGCGCACCAGAACGACAATAGATGGCGTGTGAAGGGAACTGCCACTCTCTTAAACTGTCCTGGCCAGTTCGGCAACTGAAGCAGTGACTCTTAATGATCCAAGTGGTGGCAAGGGCTTGAATGTTACCTAGCCTGTCTTCTCGCGATCATAGATGAACTTGATCACTAATGTTTGGTATATGGCTGACTTAACATACCTATTCTGTTAACCAGCGAAGGCCTTGCTATGGCATATGCGAAGTTTAAATAATCTTTTTATTTGCACATTCTTAGGCCGCCACTTCTACTGCTAGTCTACTACTTACATACAAAGCGGCTTATATAACAGCCTCAAGATGAAGATGGGAGAGTCCACAGTTGCGCCGTCCGCTGTCGAGCACTTGTTTAACAGTGTCCGCCTTAATATCAAATGCCAATACACATGCAGTTGGTGCAGTTGCCACCTTTAACTTTCAGATGTTGTACCTTTATTGAAAGTTATTAATTTAGGACTTTGAATTGGAGCCTGATTTATGTCCCGAGTAGCAGTATCTTATATTTTTAATCTTCAGAGTTCCGGGCAATCTATGGGGCAGCCTGTCCTTTTATATCAATCGCCCCTTTGATGAGCGCCTAATAAACTATAGGCATCACCTTGTCCTAGGCTTCGCGACATGAGCCTGTCTACACATCGTAACGTTTTTATGACCGCGGTTTCCTTTAGGGTCTGAGCCATGGGCCTAGTGGACGATGCTGTTCCCGGGTAAAACTGGTGTATCTTATCTCTTGTGGCCAGGAGATTTACACCAATGGGGGGTTGGTTTTGCATTGTACCCTTGGGCCTTCGGGGCAAGATTCCGTGAACTTTACTGCCGCACGCTGAGAAAGCTTCATCGGGCTACTAAGACAAGTTCAATGTTCCTGAGGTATTATAGTGCCGTTTCCTTAAGAAAACCAATAAAATCACGCATGTCAGCTTATGGTGCCACAAGGCTTGCCACCAAACGATCCCCTATCATGCGAAAGGAAGGCTCGTTCTGCAAGGTCGGGCTGACCTTATGGTGTTCCAACTACTAAGGTAATGTCTGGAACGCTGTGCCTATACTCCAATCCTTCTTAACCCGTATTATGCTTCGCCGAGGCCGCTAGATCATGCTGTCAAGGCTTTGTCGTGAGGACTGACTCTCCATGCTGGTTTCTAGCAGGAATCGTCGTACTTACTACAAACCAACTCTCCTTTGCTAACATCAAGCTGCGGCGGTCGAATGACCGCCAAAATTCAAAGCTTCTGAGGATAAATTTGGGAAGAAGAATGGCACCGATGACGGGGTACTGCCGTGTAGGTCAGCAACGAGGTTTGTACTACACCAGGTACCGGCAGTCCGGGACCACCCTGCATTTCCAACCGCTCATCTTCCAGGCCAGTGTGAGACAAACCGCTGTGCTTCCCATCGTTGCCCCAGGGCGTCACCCCCAGGCGGAGTGTGCTGAGAAATTCTATTCCTGGTGGCCGCAGCACCCAAACAATTGACCCTGCAGTCCACCGTTACTTATAAGAATGCCATCGGTTATTGTCGACGCTGCTCCATTTCTCATTACCCATCTTCGTAGGCACAATCTTGCTGGATCCGTTTCCACAGACAAGGCCATGTTTGCAATGCACGCCAATGCGTCAGAGACCCCAGCGGCTCCGCCACCACCCGGCACAGAGCCTAATTACATTGACCCTCCCTCCCGCCAGACGACGGTAGTCATTGTGGAGGCAATATTCATGCCTCTCATGTTACTGGCCGTGATCATACGGGTCTACGTGCGGACTCGGATTATAAACCTCTGGGGATGGGAGGATAGTAAGTTATCCAGCTTGGCTGCTAATCTCCTCTCTGCAAGCGTATCTAACAGTAGGACCGCCGGTGTAGCAACGTGCATTCTCGCGGCTGTAAGTAATGGGCCAGAATTTCCATTACCCAGCAACTTACGTGCAAAGTGCGGCGCGCTTGCTCATATGGGCGTAATCATGAAAAGTAAGCCACTGCCACTGGCGGGCCACGCTGCTCATCCCCCCTTCGCCTTCCCGCTATCCTGCTGAAACTGCATTGTCATTATAGTGCTGGCAATCGGCATGGGCCGACACCTCTGGGACATCCCAAGGAGGATATTTGCGGATCCGGCCCACACCCGCGTGCGTTGTCCATCACCCATGCCTATTCCTCCATAATCAACGCTGACGCAAATCATCTATCTCAGCTCATATCAGTAAACATCACATACCCCTGGACAGTATGCTTCACCAAACTCTCGATCCTACTACTCTACAAGCGTCTGTTCACAGTCAGCCGCGTCCGCGTCGCCATCTGGACCGGCATCGCCATGACCGTCGTGCTCTACACGACCTTCATCGCCATCGCGTGCGCCAGCCTCGTCGTCTGCACGGGTACGCGCACCTCCCATCCGGGCGTCAGCACCTTCTGCCGCGCAGTCCACCACCAGCTCGCCCTTTGGCACTCGGCCGTCAACGTGCTCACAGACTTCTACGTCCTCATCCTGCCCATCGCGCCGCTGGTCAAGCTGCAGATGTCCCACGGGCGCAAAGCGGCGTTTTCTTTCGTCTTCGCGTCTGGCCTGGTGTAGGTCCCGCGTGTGCTTCGATCTTTATCGGTCTGCTAACGCGCCCGCCGTCCATAGGGCCTGCGCTGCGAGCATCGCCCGCCTTGTCTGCATTCAGCAAAATGTGCATAGCAAGGACACATTGTGGGATTTGGCGGAGGTGGCGCTTTACTCGTATGCTTGCCATCCTCCCTGTTACTCCTCTCGCCGATGAGAAATTCGTTCTATCCTCGAGGTCCACGCTGACGGGTCAATTCCCGCCGTGTCTATTGGTAGACTCGCCGAAATCAACATCGGGATTATAATTGCCTGTGTCTGTACATTCCCAAAGTTCATTGAGCAATTTCGGGGACTGAAGATGGCGGGCAAGAAGGTCGGCCAGGTTGTTCAGCGTTTCAGCCGGGGGCCTTGGGAGTCGATGAAGTCGGTTCTACCGAGGCGCACAGATCGAACCAAGGCAGGGAAATCAGGTATGTTGATGATTATAAACTTTGCTTCTGTGATGAACGGCGCTAACCCTCACGTATCAAGCTCCTGGTCAGCTGGGAGAGGTAGAGGCGGTGTTGTATGTCTACTCTGTATGAGTCTTAGTTGAGCTAGAGTGTAATGCTACCGGGTATTAATACCCCCTAAGTAGATAAAGATAACTATAATATGCCGCCTTTGCCTTCTTCTTTTCCAGGATATTAACTTCCGTTTTCTCTGCTCCTTCCTGCTCTATCCAACTGGTTTAACATTATGGCTACCCCCAGCTTGGTAGTGGGTGGTATGGCTTGGGCCCTACCCAACACTATGTTTGGCACCATCCGCCATGGCCAAGGGTTTCGGTAATGGTATACCAAATCAGGTAGGGATCCCCTAGAATCTTTGGAAAAGTGCGGGTGGCTTGGTGTGGTTCCTTAGTTTGGTGATGTAGCGGACCACCGTGGGCTTGGTGTGTACCCCATGGTAGTTACCCTCCACATACACGTTGGCTTTCTTAGGCCCTGACTGTGCCCGGACAATGGCAACTCCCGTGTTATAGTAATAATGCACGTTTTATAGCCCGCCGGCCCTAACAACATACATAGAGCTCCATACAAGCCCACACCACCAACCTTAAGCACAGTAAGACATCGGCACATCCCTGGCCCACAACACCTCTTTTGAACCCTAATAAACATACCGGAACCTCAACAGCTCCTTATCCGTCTTATCCAGCACCGCCGCATCCAGAACCGCCTCATCCTCATCCCCATTCTCCCCCTCCGCGTCCCCAAGACCCAACCGGTCCCTCCTCCGATTCTCCCAAATAAGGTAAAACCGCAGCGCCAGCGAGATCACCAACGAGATCCCGAAGCAGATCAACATCGCCAGGAACCCCGATGGGTACGACGGCGCCTCGTCGTCGAAGAACAGGTGCGGGCCGATGATGTTGCCCGTGCAGTAGCCGATGAAGATCTACTCACATTAACACCTTACCCCGCAACAATGAAGGAGGCTGGGTTGGATCTGGAAGCGGGGTGAACGTACCATAGCATTTACAGTCGTCTTCTTCGTAAACCCGCCCACATTCCCCGTCGACATGGCCAGCGTAAGCGGAAAGTTCACACTATACGCGTTCGCAAGACAATACCCCATGAACCGGGCCCAGACGTTATCCGGGTTAATCTGGCGCGCCATTGCAGCTCCCGCGATACTTAACGCGCAGTTCCAGACCATCCAGTAGGTCCGGCTATTCTTGAACCACGAGCAGCCTGCTGTTGAGAGGTGGACCAGCACGCCCTGGAAGACGTAGGTGATGATTTGCACTAGGAGGGTGTTGAGCGTACTGAAACCGAAGCCTTCGATGATTATTGAGCCGAACTGCGCCTTCTCTGTTAGCTATAGCTATACCTAGGTAGGTAGATCTGAAGAGATTGGGGAGAGAAGGTAGGCGTACGTTCGAAACCCCCCCATTCGGAATCGAGCACGTAATCTGAATCAGCACGAGCGCCCAGCACTTCACATCAAGCAGCGCCTCGACAAACTGCGCGCGCTTAAACGTATCGTTCTTGATACCGGTCATGTTCTCGCTGACTCGTACAACCGCCTTGCGTCGATCCCCCTCACTCAGAAACCGCGCATTCATCGGCGTATCCGGTAAATAGCGGAATAGAACACCCGCCCAGACGACCGTGATAGCCCCGAAAATCAGGAAAACGGCCTTCCACGGCGCAATGCTCCGCACATGTCCGATGCCGTACGCGAGCAGGCCGCCGAAAACACCTGCGATTGTAATTCCCTGGAACCAGATCCCGTGCCGGAAGGGCTGCTCGGAGCGCTTGTACCACATGCTCACGACGATACTCAGCCCCGGAGCGATGGCGGCTTCGGTTAATCCGAGGAAGAAGCGCACGGCGATGAGGCCCTTGTCGTTGAAGGATAGGGCTGTTAGCATGAGGACGGCGCCCCAGACGACTCTACACAAAAGACCATCAGTATCTACCGTGCCTACGCATGAATGGGAAAAGGGCGCTCACATTGACGTCGAAATCATCTTGCCCACCGGAAACCGCAGCAGCATGATAGCGGCCGGGTATGACGCCGCCAGGTACCCGAAGTAGTAGATGCTGCTGGCCCAGGAGTAGTCGTCGCCGTGGAGGTTGAGGTCTTCTTCTAGTCCGAGGATGGCGGTGAAGCTCATGGCGGATTTGTCGAGGAATTGGAACATGTAGGAGATTGCCATTATGGGGAGGAGGCTGGATTGGAGATTGAGTGAGTATGGTAGGTTGTGATGGAGTGGGAGGGGAGTGACGGCTTACAAGAGGTCGATTCGGCGGAGGATGCGCTTGTTTTCTTGTGGGGTGAGATGTTCGATCTCGGGAGCCTCAGCAGGGACATCTTTTAGCTTCTCATCGGGATACGGCTTCGTTTGGGATCCATGTTCTTCTCCTTCTCCCATGGTGAAAGGTGGCAGGTCGGTGGTCGGAGGTGCCGAAGTTAGATAGGGCCAAGGGCCAACGGAATGGGCTGGAGACAAGCGGAGGCTGAATCTGATCAGAATCGCAAGCTCCAAGCTCCAAAAAGCAAACGGCCTGACATTTATATGGAGAGTGCAACACCCTACCTCCAAGCCAAGCCACCCCCGCAGTCGAAGCATGACGCCAAGCAGCGATACGAGAATCCATGGGCCGTGAGAGGCTGGCTCACTGCAGATGGTTTGCTATCTCCTCCAATTCGTTATCTCTGCATTAGGGCCAGCCACTTGGAGAGCTGCTGGGTTGGGGTGCTACCTTGCGCTGCGACCCTACGGCTACACAACCTTGGGACCGCGGGCCAAGCTCTGCCATGGCGCTTCTAAGTAATCCTGCATGGTTCCAATGGTCCAGATTCGTTTGGTGGACATATGTTATGTGAGCGTTTTAAATGCTTATGTGAGCATCACCCCTAAAATATAAGTAAAAAAAATGCCAAGCTAGGTAAGTTAGTAATAAATATATAACTAATTTTAATTAACTAATCTTATATAATTAATATAATTTTACCTTTTTAATAATTTTATATTAATTAAAGTTTAATACTAATATTATTAGCTAATTACTAATTACTTATTAAACGCTAGTTTAATATACTATTAACTATAAAAAATATTTTTTATAATATAATAATTAAACACTTAATCCCGCGCGGTATAAAAAAAAACTAGGTAATAAAATAAAAATAATTAAAATAAATATAAAGTGCTTATAAAGCGCTTGTAAAGTGCTTATTAATTTAATATATAAATAAAATAATTATATATTTTTAATAAATGCTAGGGGACGTGACCATGCTTTAAAGTTATTAAAAGTTAAGTATATTAATAATTTTTTAAAATATTCCTAATTATATATTAATAAATATACCTATATTATACCTATAAGTAGTTAATTAAAAAAAAAACTAGCAGGACTAGTTAAAGGCATAAGTACTTATTAATTATTAGTAAAGTACTTACTAAGTAATAATTAATTATTTAGCCTAAATTTAATATATAAAGTATTAATTTAAAAAAATAAGCTTAATTAAATAATTTTTTATTTTTTTTTAACACCCGCTACCATAAAATTAGTTATTTATACTTTAAAGTAAATACTTGTAAGTATTTAAACCCTAGGCTAAGGTATTATTATTATATTTATATTATTAATAAAATATAAAAGTAAATTATATAATATAAGTAGTTTATACCTAGTATAAAAAAACCTAAATAAATAAAATATTAAAAAATAAGTTATTACTTACTAGGCGCTTAGTAACTACTTAGTAACTACTTACTTATTACTTACTAATAATAACTAGCTATTATTATATAAAGGTTTAACTTTTTAATAAATAAAATACATGTCTTAAGCCCCTTTTAAGCTATAAGTTAATATTTTATTAAAGGTAATAAATAATAAGTACTTGCTAGCTACTTAATAATTATTTATTAATAAGTTAAAATATAAATAGCAGCTTTACCCTTTATATTACTTATATTAATAATATAAGGGCTTTTTAAATAAAGCATTTTTAATAAAATATTACTATAATATTTTTTAATTTAAAGCTTTTAAAATACCTTTTTAATAAGAATAGGGAGTTTTTATAAAAAAAGTATAAGGTTATTAAGCCTTTATAATTTTAAAAAAAATTTTATAATAAGTACTTATATAATACTTAGTTATTACTTAATAAGTAATTATTCATTACTAGCAGGCAAGGATTATTCTTAAAGCTTTAATAAAATAAAAATTTTATTATATAAAATTTATTTTTTTACCTTTATATTTATAAATTTTAAGTAATATTTATATATAATTTTTAGCTTATATAATATATATAAACATCCTCTGCCTGCCCTAGTAAAAACCCTAAAAAAAATTATAAAAAACCTAAATTAGCTAGCAAAATAAATAAATAATTTAATATAAATAATTAATAAGTGCTTACCTAGTACTTATTAACTATTTATTAAGTACTTATTTTTATTTAAGCTAATTTTTCCGCAACCCTTAACTTAAGGCTTATTACTAAAAAAATAAGGTTTTTATACTTGCTAAACTTTATTTAAGTTTTAGTAATAAAAATAAAGTTACTATAATTTTTTAAAAGTAATACTTATTATTTTATTCCTAGGGGCAGGATATTAATAGCCTAATTTACTTATATAAAGTTAATAAAAAAGTTAATATAAATACTTGGTAGCTACTTAACAAGTACTTGTTAATTATTTAAAAATATATTTAAAAATACTTTTATAATACTTAGGGTATTATAATTTTTTATAAATATTTAAATAATATATACTTGCTTTTTAAGCTATACTTATTTAAGGTTAATATATTTTATAAGTAAATTTAGGATAAGAAAATAAATAAGGTTTTATTTATTATATTTTTTATAAACTAATATAAAAGTAAGTTTTAATTACTTAATAAGTATTTAACAAGCACTTGCTAATTACTTATTTTACTTATAGTTATTATTTTTTTATATATTTTTACTAGCCTAAAAATAACTAAGGGGTACTATTTATTATTTAAATAAGCTTTTATTTTAATTTAAAAAATAATAAAAAAGCTAGTTTTATTTAACTACCTTTATAGCTCTGGAATTTATAGTTTAATTATAAATATAAATAATAAGTAATATATAAGTTAATACTTATAAAACACTTTTTAAGTGCTTATTAATTACTTAGGTTTTAGCTAGTATTTTTATAATATTAATTTAAAAAAGTATAATATTATATAGTAACTTAAGTAAATTCTTATTTTTTATTATATATATTTCTAGCATAATATTTTTAAGGTTATTAATATTTAGGCTTATAAAAGTGGCTTATAAAATTAAATAATAAGCTTACTAAGGTATAAGTTTAAAAAAAACTATAATAATTTAATTAATTACTTAATTAATAAGCTATTAAGCACTTACCAAGCGCTTATTAACTATTTATTTAGTACTTATTAATTTTTTTATAAAATATAAAAGTAAGATAATTTATAACTAGGCCATGTAAAAAAAAACTAGGTTATTAAAGCAGGCTTAAATAAGGCCTGCTTAAAAATTAAGTTAAAGTACTTTAACTTATTATATACTTATATTAATATAATTAAGTAATTTTATTAAAAATTTTATACTTTAAGTAAGTGGCTTATATTAATATAAGCCTTAAAAAAGTAAGTACTTGCCTAGTAATTACTAAATACTTACTAATTATATAAGGTTAAATTTATAGCTTTATAAAACTTAATAAAAATAATATTATTTAATATAAAAATTTTATAAAGTATAGCCTTTACTATAGGTATAATACTTTAAAAATAAAAAATAATTATTTAAAAAATATAAAAAATTAGTAAGTAAGTAAAATTAAGGGGTAATTACTTATTAAGCACTTGCTAATTAATTAAAAAAATATAAAAATATTAATACTAGCTTACTAAGGCCTTAAACATTTTATTAATATAAAAAATATTTAAAAAGGCTATTTTAAAGTTAAGCAAGGCTTTTAAAAAAAAGGTAAAATTAATTATATTAGTACCACCTTTTTTAATACCTAGTATATAAAATAATAAGTATAATATTTTATTTTTTATTATTTATTAAGTACTTACCAAGTACTAGGCCCTTATAACATGTTATTTTAATTATATAGCCCTTTTAAAATCTTGCTATTAAAAAATAAGAGCTTAAGCTATAATAATTAAAAATATAAATTAAAATATAAAATAAAAATATATAAATAAAATAATTAATTAATAAAAGGGTAAAGCTTAAGCTTATTTTAAAATATAAATAAATTTAAAAAAAATAAATATATTTATTACTTAATAACTACTTAGTAGCTACTAGTAAAGTACTTATAAATTTTTAGTTATATTAAGGGCAGCCTACTTTTAATATATATATTAATTTAAGTAAGTAATATATTATATTTAGCCTTATAAAAAATTATAAAAATTTTAAAAATATAAGCTATTTAATAATAAATATATAAATTATTTAATTTATTTTTTATAAATTAATATATATATATAAAATATATAAATAGTATTTTATATTAAAAAAAAGTAAGTAAATAATTAATAAGTAACTAGCAAGCGCTTGGCCTAACCCTTTTATTTAATATTTACTTATATATATTATTAAGTTTAATATTAACCTTATAACCTAGTAGTTAGCAAGCACTTATAAAATAATTTTTAAAAAAATTAATATACTATATTTTAAAGCTAGTTTAAAACCGCTCCGCGCCTAGTTAGCTAGTATATTAAGTAATAAAAAAAAGTTTTTAAAAAATAAAGGTAAAATAAAGATAACTAGTAATTACTAAGCACTTAAAAAGTACTTAGTAAGTAATTTAGTTTAATATTATAATATAATAAAAAAAATAAAAAGCTTAAATAAAAAAACCTAGCGCTTGCTAAGTAATTATTAAGTAATTAATTAATAATTAAAATTTAGTATTACTAGTTATATTAAAAAATTCTTTATTATTATTATTATACATGTGTGGTTTTATCAACGGTGTTAATGCCTTAGGCCACTTTATCGGCCGTGGCGATGCCAAGGCCTAGGGATATTAGTGGCCTTAAAAAATAATACTTAGGCCTTATTACCCTAAATAAAAGCTATATAAAGTACTTAAAAGCCTTAATAAAAAATTTTTAAATAATTTTATATTTAATTTTTTTTTATATATTTTTTTTTAATTACCTGGCCTTACTAGCTAGGTAATTTTTAATACTAGTATTATTATATTTAGTAGCATGTTTTTAATAATTTAATTAATAAGCTTTTTTAACACTATGGGATTTAATTAAATATAGTAATAAGGTAATTATTATACTTAATTATTAAGGTTACTTAATAATATATTTATAATAAGGCTTATTAATAATATAAATTACTTAACACTACCTGTACCTTCCT